CCAGCTGCTGGGCTGGGGCGATGGCTGCTCACTGCCCCTCACTGGGCCACCCACGGCCGTTAACTCTTCCAGGTCCTGGTTAGCTCGCATCACTCTGAGACCAGGAACTGTGTGCCGTTTTTTGCCTTTTCCGAGATCACGGGAAACAAAGGCGGTTTGAGCCGCCTCGATGGGGCCCAAGGGGCGTGCAGTGTGGGTGACGGGGGCCCAGTGGAGGCAGCTACGGTTTCAAACAACAGCTGGGCCAGGGAGTGGAGAAGGTTCTTCAATCTGAAGCTGAGAGGAAGGTTTAAAAAAAAAATAGCCAAGCTAATAATGTCTGAGCAAAGGGGGACCACAGGAGCCATGGTACTCGGTCTCGACGAATTCGCTCACTCAGGCAACAGCATCTGAGGATGGCATGCTGGGCGCCAGGGATGTGCTCGGTGTGAGGTGTCAAGACGTGCCCACGACACAGCCCCGGGGACGAGGTGCACAGCGCGTGCGTGCGTGCAAGAGCACCAAGTGTGACTAGGCGCTGACGCAGAACCTCGCACAGGGAATTATGCCCATAAACACGGAGGGACAAAGGGCCGCGGGATGCAGCCAGGGAGGTCCCGGAGCCCGCCTGTCTCAGGCAAGGCCAGATGTGCCCCAGAGGCCGGGGGAGCCCCTCCTGTGCGTGCGTCTGTGAAGGTCGCACACAGCGGCTCCGTCTGGGGTCCCTCTTCTCTGAGGCGGTGACAGACCCTCCGGGGCCCGAGGATGATGGGACGCGTATAGTGGGAAAGCACGTTCACTATCATATTCATTTTTTTTTCAAACATAGGGTATTATTTTGAAACATCAAATCGTGTCATAAAAGAATGTTAGAGGCCCGGCCGGTGTGGGTGGTGGTTGAGCATCGACCCACGCACCAGGAGTCAGGGCTGGACTCCCGGTCAGAGCGCATGCCTGGGTTGTGGGTTCACCTGGAGGGGGCGGGCAGGAGGCAGCTGGTTGATGATTCTCTCTCATCATTGATGTCTCCCTCTCCCTGTCCCTCTCTCTGAAATCAATAAAATCATTTTTTTAAATAAAAAGAATGTGGAAAGTTTCCTTATTAATCCAAAGGGAGCCTGGGCTTTGAAAGGCGAAAGTCCGGACAGAGGAAGCGCCCCACGGCTTCCGGTCAGGAGCCGCGTGGGGACGCCCCAGGGTTCCGTGAGTAGAGATCAATGTGCATTAGAACTGGGCCACTCCTCTGAGAAGGGGCCTCGCAGGGGTTCCGGAACACGCGCCTCCTAACATCTCCCAGCGGGTGTGCACCTCAGGCCCATCCCTGGCCCCGCGCCCGCCTGCTCGGGAGGAAGAATAGGTGGTAGACAGAGTCCAACACAATCAAGGGCACCACGACCCTCGTCCAGCTTCCGTAAGCCCTGAACACGGCCTGCTCCGCCCTCCGGGCTCCCCCTGCTGGGACTAGACTCCTGGAGCCCTCCTACTAGCAGCTCCTTCCAGCCCTAAAGGAAGAAGCCCCTGGCTTCTGTGCCGCCCGCCGGCTCCTAGAAGTGACGGGGCCCGAGCTGGGCATGTCCCCCAGACTTCCAGCCGCAGGTCCACGTAGCCCCATCGGGATCACTGAGGGATGACACTCGGACCAGCGGTCTCCCAGGGCGGCCAGGTCACAGGGCGGCCTGCCGCTCTCACCTCTGCTCCGGCTGGGCAGGGTCGGGGCAGGGCAGGCCCGGGAGGTGAAGGAGGAGGCTTACATCCATCTTGCTCCTCACTTCACGGTCGCTTAGAGTTACAGCTCATAATAATGATAACAGCTGCCATTTACTGAGCGCTGCGGCCATGCCTGGCACCAACTCAGCGCTCAACACACATTATCATGAGCACATTCCATCTCATTTACGTTCACAATGGCCCCTTGAGGAAGGGTTTATGGTCCGAACGTCGTGGATGAGGCTCTCGGAGGCCCCGAGAGGCTGGGTGGCTCGGCCAAGTTCACGTAACGAGGAGGTGGCAGAGCCAGGATGCAGACCCAGGT